ATGTTTGGCCAGCTGATGCGTTATGCAACCCACCAGCCTGCAGATGTCCAAAACAGGCCTCATCTCCCTTTCGATCTCCCTCATGGCATGTCTGTCCCTCAACAATAAGGGAGACAAGAATGGTTGTAGAAAGGTCAAGTGTTCTGCTGGCTTTACAGAGCACGCTGGGAGCAGGAGTCAGGTTTGTTTGGAGCCCTTGGTTTCAGGACCTGTTGTCCAGAGTCCACGCGGCTGCACATAACCCTTGGGCATCATTGCTCGGTGAGGCCGCAGGAGACTTTATAAAAAGTGCTGGTGGAAGCCTCATTTCTGTGATTCTGCCCGCCCTCGTTGAGCATTCAGTAGGCATACTGGAGACGCAAGCAGACAGAACTAAAACCAATCGATCTCGGGGGGTGAGGAGGGGGATACGGCAATGGCAAACCTCAATATCCCAGGTGATGGGAAGAGAGATATTTGGAGCATTGTAACAGGCTGTGCTTAGAAAAGCCAGTCATGGAGTTGCGCAGTGAGGATCCCAGTCATTTCAAACACACCGTACAAATACTCGAATGTAGGATGTCCTTCAATGTGAAAGAGCTGTGCACCTAAATTCCCATGGTCCATGGCTGAAAGTTGGCCTTGGGATGTTGACATCTAGCATAGCCAGGGTTGTTAGCACGGCCTAATATTAAGTGGCCCGACCCCACCCAATTATAAAACTCTGGTTTCAGTTGCTTATACAACTTCACCAAACTTCAACCATTTGGGCGGAAGTTGTAAATGTTGTTAGTCTGCATCAGGCCAAATTTTTTTTGGAAAATTTTAGCCAAAATCATTCAGTGATTTCAGAGAATAAGGAGAAGGGAAATGCACTTAGTTGAACCTTTACTTTGAGATACTCTAGTGCCCTATGCTTAGGAGGAAGGACTTGACATTTGGCAAAGGATGTGCCTTTTGGCATCTCTGTGAAAATCTGCCGACGTTATAAGCCACTTAAACTGCTCAGTAGAAATTTGTTTTTATTTTGCAGAGAAATTCCCTGAAGATTCTTTCGGCACTGGGCATGCTCCAGCCAGGGGGTGAATGGGCCTTTCCCAGCAATTTCAGTTCTACACTGCTAGGGCGAGGCATTCAACTGGGGAGCAGGGAACACGCCTTTCCTGCCCTCTCAATGTCCCTCCTCTCCTGCTGAGCCCAGACAACGTGGAGGAAGCTGCCTGCTTTGAGCACACAAGGAACCCGAGACAGACCTGCAAGGGAGGGAGTGATGCAGCAGGAGAAATGGGCAAAGACACTGGACAGGAAACTGAGTGGAACACAGCACAGATTGGATGAGGAGCTCACAGAGGGACAGAGGAAGGAAGTAGGGATGGGGAATGTGGTTACAAGAGGAAGTGACTAGAGGTTAGGGAGGAGGAAAACTGACGTGGGGGACAGGAGATATCAAAGGGGAGAGTCTAGAATTTACAGGTTGAGGAGGACGAAAAGGGAGAACGGGCAGAAGAGTCTGTACCCACTAAATCGCATCCCCTCCAGCGCCTGGAATGGAACCCAGAATTCATGAATCGCACTGGTCCTCAGCTGTTTGCCAAGACTTTGGCAAACTGTGTGGCTCATCCCCCTTTGGGTCTGGTCCACACAGAGGGTGGAAGCTACTACGATTGGCTACTCCACCCATTCAAGTAGCAAGGAGGGACTGAGGTTGTGTGTTTTATTTTTGATGGGGCGAGCGTTGTACAGGTTGCGTATCCTGCATAGAACTGGATTCCATCCCTGTGTCTGCCAAAGTTTCTAAGTGATGCTAGAAAGCTGCTTCCACAGGTGATTGCTAACTGCATGTTCCTCATTTTCTGGGAGACCAGTGTGGGACCCTAACGTCTGATTTACAAATGTGGTGAGCACTGACAGCTGCAATCGAGGTCAATGGGAGCTCAGCTTTGAATGGAGGAAATGCTGATTAGTCGGGAAAAAATAGTTCTAGGCAAACCGGGCACCCAAAATCAGATCTCAAACTCTGTGCGCCTCAGTCCCCCATCTGTAAAATGGGGATAGAACTTCACCTCAGCAGGGTGTTGGGAAACTAAATTAATGATTTGACACGCACTCAAGCTGCCGTTACCAGTGCCACAGAAAATGGCAAGCTAGCAATTCTGCCTTCATAGCAGCGTGAGCAGTGTGCAGTAAATAAGACCTGGGCCATGCACTGAACAATGAGGAGAAACAAATAGGGAAAGGCTACTCTGAGTGAACACAACTCATCCGGGGTGTTGACTGAGGTGGGGGTCCTGTGGAAACCAGAGCACGTGAACATGCAATATTTTTAGTCTTAGGTGCTGCAAGACTATTCGTTATTTTTTAAGTTTTTCCTGTTACAGACTAACTCGGCTCCCCCTCTGAAGCTCTTGCACATGCAATCAAAGGCTGTATCATACTGCATATGCACCAGGGGCCAAATTAAACAGTGCTCAAACAACCCTGATTCTGGCATTTCCTAACTTTTCAAAGCTTCACTTTGCAGGCTTCATAATGTTCTTTTACTGCATTTCTTGAGCGTGAGATATAAAGAGCAGAGTTTGAGGGTTCTAAGAACTTCAGAGCACACCATGGGACCAATTCCATTGTAAAAGATTCAGGGCAGCAGAGCTCAAAACCCCTTTCGCCCTGTTAGTATCAGACAAAAATCCCTCATTCAAAGTATATTCCAGGCAAGGCAATAGGAACACTGCCGTTAGCATACAACCTTGCTCGTGCCTTATCCTATTGTCTAAGTGAAGGGAAGACTGCAGGGGATGTGTTACTCTTACCCTAGGTCACACATGGCAGAGGAACACAGCAGAGAAACTATGAACTGTGACCAGTCGGGCAGACAGACCAGAAACACTTACGATAGTGGACGACCTTCAGCTGGAGGGCGACATGCAGCCCATCGGGGTTCTACGTGCTGTTTATTTACCACTGCACATGCGCACAGTTGCCAGATTCTGCTGGTTTCTAGTCAGAAAGTTTTTTTCCTTACTGTTATTACAAAAGCGACGTGCACGTAAAGCACAAGCACCTTGCACACAACATTGTGAGAGCTGGGTGCTCCCACTACAGCCAATCAAAGAGCTGCTACGGTTCAATCAGCACCCTCTATAAATTCTAGATATGCAAGGGTAGTGAGCAAAACTGCCATATCCCGGGAGACCCCGTTACACCAATCTCATGGGCCACTGAGAGGAAGGCGGGCCACTATGCAGCCCACTCACTAACCTTGGCACCCATCAGTGCTTTAGATACACCGAGAGGCATTTACTGCAAATCTGTAGGTTTCCCTTTAAGGGAGCTTAATTGCAGAGCTCCTTCCTAGATAGTCGCTTCCCATTCTGTAGGTGTGAAACAGATTGTTCCTTCCTAAGTGGAGAACTTTACATTTGTCCTCATTGGACGTCATCCTATTCACCTCAGACCATTTCTCCAGTTTGTCCAGGTCACTTTGAATGTCGACCATGTTCTCCCGTGTGACCCTATCCAACCTGGATTTGTGATTCATGGTTTGTAGCAGGTGTTCTTCTCCGGCGTCCTTGTGGCACAAGCACAGCCTGAGCACTTACGGTCTGGCAGACAGGCCATGGCGATTTTCAGAGAGGCTGAGGTAAGTACAGAATGCTCTGAAGTGCTGAGCTCTGCCTACTCCCACAGTGCAACGTAAGTGGTACCTAGTTCCACTGCTGACGTCCCCTTTCAAACAGGACTATCTTAATGCAGGGCTACTCAACATGCGGCCCGTGGGGCGGTTTGGGTTTACGCGGGGCTCAACACGCGGCCCGCGGGTGGGATCCTTTGAACATGGCCTCCACTGGAAACACGCTCCATAACGGTGAGTCAACAGAATGGTCTTCTGTTGAGATGCGTTTTTGTAGTTAAATTCCTGGACTGTCATTGCTCATTAAAAGTGCTGTCATATGGCTGGAAATCAGGTAAATATGGCATTTTACTAATATCAGCAGAACTGACTTAAATGGGGCCTGTGTGCTGTATAGTCTTGCCTTAATCTTTGCATTCATGTCCGTCAGTGTGAAAGAAGCTACAGGCAGTCCCCGACTTACGCGGATCTGACTTATGTCGGATCCGCACTTACGAATGGGGCTTTCTCGCCCCGGAGCTCGCAGGCAGCGGTCAGCCACCTCGACCTCCGGGGCGAGAAAAGCTGCTCCCGGTGCCACTGGTCTGCTGGGGACCGTCTCCAGCAGCCCAGGGGCATTGGGAGCAAACCCGCAGCAGCGGCGGGTTCCCGCACTTCTGAGGCTTTCCCAGAGCAAAGCCTCAGTTTCAGCAACCCTTCTTCCTTCTCTGCTCTGCTACCTGTTGAGTCAGATAGTTATTCAGCCTTGGTCTAAAACTAAAGAGCTTCCCAGCCCCTCCTGCTCCTTGAAGGTTTATCTCAGCTGTTCCAGGCTTGTGTTCTTCTCAGCGGGTTCCCCTGCCGCTTCTTCCCTATTATTGAGTCCAAGCTGAATGACACCTCTGCCACACGACCCACCTAGGAGTATACCTGCCCTCGTTCCGTACCTGGAGACTGAATCGCCTACGCTTCCTTTTCCTTAAAGGGCAGATTAACTTGGGGCAGTGAGCCTCCTTACAGCATCTCTCATGCTCAGTTACAGTGGAAAACTGGAATAGAAAATTAGACCGCTGTGTATAGTGGATTGCTTAGTTAATTTGTTTACAAGCTGCCAGTGTGGTCTTCCCAACACAAAGAAATAAATAGATTTGTCCCAGGAGGTCCTACAGTTTTAATCAATGGAGTCTGTTCAGATATGCTGGTGTAAATCTAGAGTAGTTCCATTAAAACCAAAAGAGCTCCTTTGGATTTTACACCAGTGTAGTTGAAAACAGAGTCTGACCCTAAATTATAGCTTAGTTGAGTAGCTGAAACAAAATACAGGACTATGTAGCACTTAAAGACTAACAAGATGGTTTATTAGTCTTTAAAGTGCTACATAGTCTTGTATTTTGTTTCAGCTGCATCAGACTAACACGGCTACATTTCTATCACTTAGTTGAGTAGATCTGCCTTAATGGGCGCTGGGCACTTTTTAGAGTGCACTAGCAGGGTTTATACAGGACAGCTGGAGCACAACACTTTACACCACTCTGCATTTTACCTTCTTTCAGGTTCGGCATAGACTGGAAGGACAGCTTTCACATAGCCCAGTGCTACTGACATGGACTCCAAAGTCCTAGTAGGATACTCAAAAAGTTAAGGCCTCTGTTCTGCCCACCCCACCCAATTATGCCCCAAAGTTCACTGTGCTGTTGATGGTGGAAGGGAGAATGGGGGTAGGTAGTCCGCTGAAACTCAAATGATGGTGAATTTTTGATGAAAGGGGCTTTGAAAAAGAAATGACATGGTTCAGTTTAGAGTAAGTGGGTGGCAGGAAGCAAAAATTTCTACCGTGTTACTAAATTGTGCCTTCTCCTTTCAATTTCAGTCCCTGATCCTAACAACACAACTGAAACCAAAAAGACTACAATACAGCCTACATATCCCACATAAAACCTCGTTAGAAATTCATCTCCCCATCGACCTGTTTTAAAAAAAAAAAAAAAAAAAAAAAATGGAAGACCCCTAATGATGACTGAATAGACAAGCAAATTCTGCATACACTGAAAATCACATTTTGCTGGGTATTCGATAAGATGGTTGGCACTGAAAAGAAACTGAAGTTATGGTGGCAATCCAGCCATTTTCTTTCTACAGCAAAATTAAGCATGGATCAGAAGCAAGGAACAGCACCTTTTTTCAGCGCTTACCTTTGATAATCCCTTTGACTGCATCCAGCACAAATGTAATCGATATAAAAAGTGCAATGATTTCTTCTGTTGATCTAAAAAAACCAAACCGCATGGATTAACATGGTCAGTCACAAAGTCTGAAGTTCCCCCACTGTATTAATATACTTGTTATTTTATGGGGCACGCGTACAGAGTTTCACGCACATGTTGAAAGCAGAAGTACTAAAAACTGGAATGAGCACATGCCGTCCAAAACCAAAGTTACATATTCTTAGTTGAGCGTATTCTAGTTTTGTCTCACAGGGCTTGTTTACATGGCATTTAGTTTGCTAAGAGCGGGGATACAAATATACCATGACCCAGCCTGCTGAAGATTAACTGTCCCCGCAGACCCTGCTGATGCGTATTAACAGTTCATTAATGTGCTTTGATCTACTCCTCTTTGAAACGGGACTAGATCAAAGCTCACAAATAAACTGTTAATACACAACAGCGAGGTCCACATGAAAAGTTAGCCCATGACCGGGTAGCATGGGCTCAGTTTATAGCCAACTTGCTGTGAACTGTGTTCATGTAAACAAGCTCACAGATTTTATGGCAAATTCGCAATTAGAAACTTCTGGAACACACAATTTTCTGTTTGCTGAGTAATATCACCAACATTTGACTTCCCTTGAAAAAAAGCAAGAGTTACCTTTTAAACAGCTTCATTACAAGACTGAAGTTAAAGAGCGAGTACAGGACAAGGAAAAAACTGTTCCACAGTCCAATCCAGGCGTAGAAAGCACTAAAATCCAAGCTGTAGTCATCACATATCCCTCGGATCACTGCAAAAACCAGTAAAACAGTCAGTGGTGGACTCGTGCTTAATATTTTATAGATAAACCATTCAGATTTAGAGAGTGTAAGGTCACAAGGGACCATTAGATCATCAAGTCTGACCTCCCTATGTGTCACGGGTTATTAAATTTCATCCAGTTACCCCTGCACAGAGCCCAGTAACTTGTGTTTGGCTGAAGCACTAATTTGTTCAAAGGCAGTAAATAGGCAATAGTTTCGACTCCATCTGCCAACACTATGGACTGTTCCAAATGTAAAGGGAAGTTTAACGCTTATAGGAAAGAGAGACAGACTTGCATTGCGTATTTTGACCATTTCCCTGCTGTTGAATTTTCTAGGTGCTGTGTAGCCAAATCTCATGCAACACATCTCAGCATTCCATGGGTTCTCAAGGCTTGTAAATGGACACTGGCAATACAGCACAAGCAAAGGACCAGTCAAAAAACTGTTAACAATGTCTGTACCGATATTTAAAGTATGATACTTGGGGGGAAAAGATTGTTCAAGTGGTTCTTTAGAAGGCAGCTAAGTAATAAGCATCTCTGCAGTGGAGAGCTAAGCCACCAAACTACCCCTCTGTAATTTGGCTTATTGGACCTCTCTCGTCTCCAATTACTGGGAGATCGATGCTGCGGAGATCGATCTCCCAGGGTTTGATTTAGCTGGTCTAGTAAGGATCTGCTAAATCAACCGCTGATTGTGCGCTGTTGATTCTGGTACTCCACCGGGTTGCGAGGAGTAAGGGAAGTCGATTGGAGTTTCTCCGGTTGACCTCCTGCAGCGGGAACCCTGTGGAAATTTGTTGCTGGCATTGCATATTTTAGGCTGACAAGGAGTCCTGTGGCACCTTATAGACTAACAGATGTATTGGAGCATAAGCTTTCGTGGGCAAAGACCCACTTTGTCAGATGCACGTCTGTGGGTCTTTGCCCAAGAAAGCTTATGCTCCAATACATCTGTTAGTCTATAAGGTGCCACAGGACTGCTTGTCGCTTTTGCAGATCCAGACGAACACGGCTACCCCTCTGATATTTTAGGTCAACTTTCTTCCCTAGTGTAGATGTAACCTATAATGCAAATACTGGGGGATCCAACTATCTTGTACCTCAGCTAAAAAAAACTATAGTTGCTGGCTAGCCATTGATGAAAATGCACCCATCGCACCTTATCAAATCAATTTGTAAACGATGCATACTGCAGTTCCTGATCCTCAATGCATACAAAATTTATTCCCAAGGGAGAATAAAAGAAATCTCCTGGAAATTACATTTTATTTTAATAAAAAGCTGTATACTTTTTTTCATTAGAAATGAAACAATTCTACTCATAAACATTCCCTAGATCCCATTTGCAGGGCTGAAAGCCCGTCTGTAAATTTCAGCTTTGTGGCGTCGTAGGCCTGGGACAGATTTACTAGCAAAGCTCTGAGGCAAGCGAGGCTCTCCGAGTGTGTCACCTCACCAATTCTGACTACATCACGTCCTCCTCCATCTGCATTACACTTTGGTAAACTTACCATTGATGTACAATGCCAGAGGAGCTGTGGTTAAGAGTACAACCAGTGGCTGCCCTGAAAATAGAGCATATAGAAGTCCACCGATGCATTGGCCCACGATTGTCTTCTGCACATCTACAAATAATTCAACAGTATATTCGTTAAGGCCAAGGATTTACAAGTCCTACTAAGGGTATGTCTGCACTATAATTAAAGACCCACATTGGCTCAGGCAGGAGCCTGGGTTCTGGATCCCACGAAGAGGGAGGGTCTTAAGAGTCTAGGCTCCAGCTGTGCCTGCAGGTCTAAACCACAATTAAAACAGCCCCTAAGTCTGAGTCCTGTGAGCCCAAACCAGAGGACACAAGCCAGCTGCCCATCGCTAGACCAGATGGATTACTACACTAATGTCAACTGCCCAAGTCACGAACACTAGCACCTAATAGCACATGCCGAGAGCAAGACTATTCCAGAATGGAACTGCCCCATAGGTAGCTGTTACCATACATAGAGCACACTCATTCCTAGGGAATTCAGACTGATGATACATAACCAAACTTGCATTAACAGTCTAAAGAGAGAGACGGGATCCCAGGCAACTGCCCTTTCACATGTGAACCAGAAGGATTTTCTTTAAAGAACAGAGGTTCTCCAACCTATTTGACTACATCCTCATTCTGTGCATCTCATCACTGGCACCCTCGGGTTCCCTTCAAGTAGAGAGAGAGCCATCCAGGCAGAGCCGAGCGCCATGGCTGCTGGCTGGGTGCACAGCTGTGAATGCAGTGCCGCACCAGGAGCAGCACAGAAGGAAGGGTGGCAAAGGGTAAAGTCAAAACCAACGTGTGGTTTCTTTTGTCAACATCTTTTTGCACTGCAGACTTAGCACTTCATTGCCAGTCTTGCTGCTCCTGCTGCCTGGGGACTGACAGCAGGAGACTTGCCACTGTCCGCTGATGAGAGATGAGTCCAAACGTGGGTAGAGGGGTTCCAGCTGTCAGGCCCCGGCAGAAGGGCTCCAGTTGTCCCCTTCATCTCTTCCCCCTGACTCCCTGGGTGTGCACAGCCTTCTTGCATGAGCCCGAACCTCCAGGGACTGACAGCCAGTGCCCCGCCACTCAGAGCTGACAACTGTGCCCTTTAAAAACAAGAATGCACCATTTGCACCTTCCTGGACACATCCCTCCTCCTCCCCCGCCACTGGTTTAAAAGAGAAGCAGAGAGCAATTTTTCATACACAAGATGATGGCCAACAAGGCTGGAGTCTCATCTACAAGAGGGAGCTACTGAATTGCAAGCACAGTGTCAAAGGGCTTCAATGCAAAGCTGGATCAGGTCTCTAGTGGGGCTAGGTTAGGTATAAGAAAAAGCAAGTACCTTCCACGAAGTGCTCTGTATTCCATTAGCAGCCCAAAGCCCCAGGCAAGCACAGGGCCCCGAGTGTGTTACGTGTTTTACAGTCATGGAGCAAGCGTGAACTTACAACCATGTGCTCAAAATTACCTTGACTGGCATTGCAACATGGGTAGTACAGAAAACAGTTACAGGTTTGCACCTGTGTGCACCCAGGGACATCAGAAATGTCTGTATTAAGAAAAACAAGGCGGAAGCACAACCGTCCCTATTGTTACTGGAAAAGTCTTTACCGATGTCTCCTCCACCAGACCTTGCTTATGTCATTATTTCCCCCAAACTGAGCAGACATAAAGCAACCCTGACAAAAAGATAAGAGACAGAAAAACCGTGGCAAGCTCACCAATAGCTCCGCTTGTGTTTTCATCATTTAGGGAACCAAATGCAATGGATGGTAGGAGGCAGGCAAAATATAAAAAGATCATCGTTGTGATGTACTTTCCAATGGCCTTATTATTCCCAATAATACCTGAAATACACCAAAAAAGCAGAATAAATCAATAGCACAGCTGAGTCTAGGGTGTTAAAACATTGCTCAGATACCGTCACGCAGATCATTGGTGACAAGAACTTAACTGCTAAAATGAAACAGTGGCAATGTAGTTGGCATGCATTTAAACGATACAATTCCTGATGGTCTTTATCCCCAGTTATAGTACGAAGGCAAGCTATGGCAGCTAGCCCCTAAGTAGCGAACATGCGTAAGAAACAACATTCAGCGTTCCAACCTGTAAACCTACCTTTCATTATGGAAAATCCCGTTTCTGTTGAAGTGGCTTGTTTGCTATTTATGCACTAGATTTGATTTTTCATTACATTCGCACTTAGAAATTATTTACAGATACTTCTTAGGACTAAGGAAAAGACTTAGGTGAAGGACACTGGGACAGGGTAACAACCAAACCTTATGCTAACGGGTTTTTTGGAGGCTCGGGAAAAAAATATTTTTCATTTTAGCGCACATCTGCACTCCTATCTGAGACCTACTGTATTAGTTTAGATGGACTATATGGCCAAAGGCATTAACATAAATCCAGTCACTATCCTGCATTGAACAGGTTTGGTATATGGATGGTGTTAAAGACAGAAATCTGTGTCTTGACAGGGAAAAGAGAAAATGTTAGTTCAAATGGCTGGGAGCCATTGCTGTTGGTGCTGTCTAAGTCCAATCCCATTTATTTTTGGTGGCGTTGGAGATTCATCTGCAACTGGCAGGGCTGGGGACGTTTTCTGGAGCCATTTCTCTGGCTTGGTCTGGCCAGCACATCTCACAACAGGATGGGGGTCCCACAAAATGGTGGGGTGGCAGACATGATGGTGAAGTTTGCTTCGGTAGCCTCTATCTGATCCTTCCTTATCCTCCCCCAAAAAGGAGTGATGGGCAGAATAACCTATCCCATCATTATTTTTTCCCTCCAATTAGGCCCAATATCTGACACACCCGTTTTGGTTTGGTAATTTAACAAACAAGATTATAACACAGTCCTTGCATTATATCACCATGGCCTTTTTGTATAGACTAATTTAGTCACTCTGGGTTTTTTGCACCTGTTTTAAACATTCATTATTGAAAACAACTTGACCTATTTTTTCATCCACATTTGTTGTTAAAGGTTATCGAAATATTTTGCCAACTTTTATATATATTTACTGTTGAGCTGACAGCTGAGGTAACTTTATCCAAACAGACCAAAATTGAAAGTGCCAAAATGCCACCAGACAGACTGTTCTAGCAGACAGACATTCTAGCATCGTCAGAAACAGGAAATACTGGAAATCTCAAGAGAAAACATGTTTTTGTTAGACACACAGCCTAATTTCCAGACCTAAGAAGTTTGGACTGTTTGAATGTGCAAAGCAGCATTTGCATTAGAGGTTCTTAACTAAAAATCAAGCATATGAACATTTTGCAACGTGTCTTCAGTTCCAACATGCTAATCAATTATCTTCTCAGTTCAGAATGGATTTGTTAAGGAAAAACCACCCCAGGTATTACACTGGTTCAGACAGACATGTGACCATGTTATAGCCTTAAATCATTAACACACAGGGCAGAGGGGGGAGAGGAAGGGGAGAAAAGTGTAACTGAACATCAAAATTTTACAAAACAAGTGATACAATACAAGAATTTAAAGTTATATTCAGTTTTACTGTTGCTGTGATGGTCCCAAGATATTAAAGAGACAAGATGGGTGAGGTAGTATCTTATATCAGATCAACTGAATGAATACTGTATCAACTGTGGGCGCTCTCTCTCTCTCGCTCTCTCACTCACTCTGGTTTTGTCCTACAAGGAAACCTGCATAAAACCTTCAAAAGACAAGCCTGGGAGTTTAAATTCATAACTTTGCAAGACACTAAAAATCATGGTCTTAAAAATAAAATCCACTTGATTTCTGGCCTGTGTCTACAATCTGTAACCCACTAACTTTTTGTTGTATGACTGCAGGGGTATTAACGGATCAGTTCACCTTGAACGGTCCCTTAGATTAGAATGTATATTAACCTACTTAGACCAAACGATCCGTTCCATGTTGCATTTAGCTGTGTCACCCTGTGTATTTATCCCAACCCCTTAAGAAGAGCTCTTTGTAGTTCCAAACCTTGTGTCTCTCACCTGAGGCAGCTGGACTAATACAAAATACTACTTCACCCACTTCGTGTCTAAAAGGTTCTTCTATTCAACAGCCTGTGTCGGCAAATCTTTTGTCACTCAGAGGTGTGAGTAGTCCATTATGAAGTGCCATAAATTACACCAAGAGAAGAGCCACCTTCCTTGGACTGGGCAGGGACATTTGCAGCACATAGCTTGCAGTCTAGCTGTGAAATTTGAGTGCTGGACTAGTAGTAAAACAGTGTCTTAAAAACTGAGGTACATCTACAGATTCAAACTGCAAGAGATAATGCTTATTTGTAACATCTCTAATTTTTGTGCTCTATAATATCCAAACTGTTCAAGTAAAAAACATTTCCAACTTTTGAAAAAAAAATTACACGTAGCCCCTTCTGGAAAATGCACAGACTAAAGTATTGTTGGCATCAATTTACCGGTACTTTAGTACGGCCATTTATAACATAATTGATTTAAAAAAAAAAGCAGTACGAGGCGGATACACTTAAATCTATTAATTTTACATTTACAGAGTAAACTTGAGACATTCAGGGAGATGTGTGGGTATAGCTATTAGTACAACAAGTGTTCCTTTCCCATTAAATTAACTATTGAATAAAAAACCATCTGCTGAAAAGTTCAATTATTCTGACGTGCTTCACAGACAAAGCTACATCTTTTAAACCCAAGGCAAAGTATCAATCATGTTTTAATTATGAAAAATACTTTACAGATGATATCCTCTGAATCATTCTTAAAGCAGGGCAACATGAACACACTTCATGCTGCAGTGCCACATTAGAGGTATTTTTCACCTGTATTAGTAATTTGATAGATAAAATCTGGTTTTCTGATCTGCCTCTTACATCCATTCCAATTAAGAATTTCACTGTAATTTGCGGGGAACGTGAAGGTGAAAGAAAGGAGTCGGCTTTACTTTCTTAAAGAGTGCAGATGGATAGAATGAACAATTTCTTTTTTCTTGGAGGAAGACAGCTTAGGAGGACATTTTGGCTACGTCTAGACAGCGGTGCTATTTCGGGATACCAGAAGTATCCCGAAATAGCTATTCCGCGTCTTTAAACGCTCTCATTATTTTGAAATAATGGGTGTGCTACTCCGGCATCCCTGTAACCCTCATTCCAAGAGGGTTAACGGACTTGTCGGAATAGCACTTTATTTTGACATTTGGCACTGTGTAGACCAAGGTTTGTGAAATAAGCTATTTCAAAATTACCTCGTAGCAGAGCTTGAATTGTGTAGCTTATTTCCAGGTAAGGATGCAGTGTAGACGCACCCTTTCTTTAAGCTGGAGAATTCTATTCAACTGAATCTTTCTTGGCCAAAAGGGAAAATACATTCACGATTCAGGAAGCTAAATTTGAGAAGACTACTCAGTGGGATTCTACCAGCTTAATATCGTGTATTTCTGTTGGCTATTTATTATTTGCTCCAGACTTCTATCTGCGTGGGAGTATGTATATTATACGACTCCAGATTAATGTTATTTTTAAGGGCTTCAATTCCAACCACGTGAGCCTGAGCCGTGCATATAATTGGTGAAAGTCTGTACAGTTTGGTAAATACAAGCCAGACACACATCAAGAATCCTAGTTCCATGCACATCAAAGGTGCTGGGATTTCACCTCTAGTCTTTCTGCTGCAAAACCACAAACCTCTTCTGAGCGAAAGTAGAGTCTCCTTTAGCTAGCATTAGCAGAGATCCCTTATTTTTCACCGTGAGGACAACACACACACACACACACACACACACACACACACACACACACACCCCACTCCTGCAGTTGTGACATACCAATACCCAGACAATTTAATGACCAGTCTTGTTGCTCTATTAATACATGGCTCCTGTGCCATCTGCTCAGACTGCTATCTCTGCTTCCTCAATAAAAACAATGCCTTCTCTGCAACTTGCATCTCTGATGAGGAATGCATGGCTGTTTCTCAGTTTGGAGGTAGTGGGATAGCCCAATGCCTCCAGTGGAGCTTTGAGACGATCCATCTTCAAATTTGCTGCTCTGTGGAAGATCCTTGCTGTTCCTCATCTTTTTCATTCCATGCATCCATAAAAAATGTCAGCACTGCGCTTTCGATTGCTGCAAGAATGTTAGCCCCTCCGCCCATATTCAGTGCTGATTGCACCATTAATGCTATTCTACATGCTACGGATGTTGATGGTGCAGCATTGAGACGCACTGAACTAGGTTTCAGCTGTGCCCACTAGACTAAATATTGCGTTAGTTCTCAGTTTCCCGTGTACTGCCTGTGTGTGCATGGCCATTTCAGCGGGTTAATGCTCTTCTTATTCTTCTGCTTTCGGTGTCAGGTTCATTGTTCATTTTATATACTGACAAGCACCCTAAAATGATTTGAATTACATGAAAATTTCTCTTTTAAAGAAAGCTGCGTTGCTGGGTTTTAAAAAAACCTTTCAGATATTTTACAGTGAAATTTTTTAAAAATCATTTGCACCTCTGTTAGCGCTGTTGTCGGTTGGGCCTGGGATGGCAGTAAGACGGCATCACGTTGTGATGTGCAGCGAGGTTTGCAAGGGAGAGATTTGGGCTCAGTTTGATCTGCTGCCAAAGTTTGTTCCATCCTAGGAGCTTTTCACTGAAAACACGCTATTCTGCCAAACGAAACGCAACCTGGGACCTGTTCTCTGATATGAAACGAGGCTTACAGGATCGGTCGGCAAAGGCTTCCCCAGGCGACCGATCCACGTCTAGACTATCATGCTGTGCCGGATCAGCTGATCGTCGGCACAGCGCGGCGGCCACGTTTATTTTAACGAAGTGGGGATTATTTAAATTCCCGCTTCTTTGCCTATGCCAGGTAAACTAGTTTACATGGCTCCGTCGACGGAGTCATGTAGTCTACACATACCCTCAGTGTGCTTTATAAACCCTCACGAAGCTCTGTGATGAAACAGGCATGGAGAGATGCAGCGACTTGCCCACTGTCACACAGCAAGTCACAGGCACCATCTTGTGGTCTAGCCATCACACTCAAAAATGCACATATAAAGCAACAATCATTTTTAATTGCACCGGGCACTTTACCTCCACTTCTGAAAATACGTTTCTCTGCACACAATTGGCTCATACGAGACACTCAGACCCTTAGCGCGAGATTTTCAGACCTAAGTGGGGACGATCTAGCGAAGACCGTAACGCTGTCTTACGCCACTTTGTTCTGGTAGTCACAGACAGCCGGGAGACACCTTCAGCCATCTGGCTATGTAGCACAGGGAGGATAAAGGAAACGAGACCCATTTACTTAGCCCAGCAGAACTGGAGTGCAGAAGGCAAACTGTTCCTTGGCCTCGCTGGTGAGAGATAACAGAAGGGCTGAGGGGTGACCGCCCTGCCTTTACGTGCCTTTTCAAGCCTATTACAAAATGGACAAAAGAAGGTGCACAGCACCACTATGGGACAGGAGAGCTCTCCAGTCTGGGAAGGCTCTCCATTCTGGGTGCTGTGATCGGACACAAGGGGGCGCCATAGCACCGTGACTGCATGACACGTGATGCCACTAACTCCCATTAAGCTTGGCTGCCTCTTCAACGTGATTGGCTGAATGGTGCCACGACCCCGAGCGCCAGGTTGCAAGACCCGGAAAGAGGAGACCCTTCAGGACAGGAGCAGCTGCTGCCGGATGATCCTAGAGCAGGCTTGCTCTCCCAGCCCATCACTAATGACTCATCTGCCCCAGTGGTTGCAAAAACTGGCTCCACCAATGCGTCATTCACAAACTGCAAAATATATATGAAAAAAAAATTAAAGGCTTTTCAATCACCAATTAGCTTTTGTGACCCTCCTGCTGGCAGAGAGACAGGTCCTTCCTGCAAACTTTACTATACATACTATATATAAAATGATAGGGTCAAAATGGACGGTTACCTCTCAAGAGAGAGATCTTGCAGTCACTGCGGATAGTTCTCTGAAAACATCCTACTCAGTGGGCAGCGGCAGTCAAAAAACCAAACAGAATGTTGGCATTATTAAGAAAGGGAAACATAGTAAGACAGAAAATATCGTATTGCCTTTCTGTATGTCCATGGTACCCCTGCATCTTCAATACTGTGTGCAGATGTGGTCACTTTATCTCAAAAAAGATGTATCGAAATTGCAAAAGGTTCAGAAAAGGGAAACAAAAATGATTCAGCTACGAACAGCTGCCAAATGAGGAGAGATTAATAACATTGCAACTTCTAAACTTCGAAAAAAAAACTACTATGGCATGACATGACAGAGTTCTATAAAATCATGACTGACGTAGAGTAAAGAAGTAAAGAAGTAAATTTACTCCTCATAACACAAGAGCTAGAGGGTCACCAAATGAAATAGGCAGCAGGTTTAAAACAAACAAAAGGGAAGATTTCTTCACACAAAGCACAGTCAACCTGTGGAACTCCTTGCCAGAGGATGGTGTGAAAACCAGGACTTTAACAGGGTTCAAAAAAGAACTAGTTAAATTCAGGAAGGACAGGTCCATGAATGGCTATTAGTTAGGATGGGCAGGAATAGTGAGTGTCCCTAGATTCTGTTTGTCAGAAGCTGGGAAAAGAAGACAGGGGAGGGATCACTTGATGATTGCCTCTTCTGTTCATTCTGTCTGGGGCAGCTGTCAGAAGATGGACCATTGGCCACTGTCAGAAGACGGTCCATTGCTCTGACCCAGTATGGCCATCCTTGTGTTCTTAGGAACCCTGGCTCTATGAAAAGGAAATCCAACATGACACATTGCTTGGCACCTTTCATTCTAACATGTGGTGCTGTCTGAGTTATATGAACCCCCAAATCATTGTAACTTTCATTACTCCTGGATCTCAAAACCAACTAGAATATAAAAAAATGCTATTGGTCAGAAGCTTTGTATGCTGGCTTCTATCCTGAGACCGTTTTTACAACAGTTACAGACTCTTGAAAACAGAAGTTCTTTCATAGATTCCAACAGCAGAAGGGACAGTTATTTAGTCTGCTCTTCACATAACATCCCTAAAATAATTCCCTAAAGCATATCCTTTTACAAAAAGTCTAATCTTGGTCAAAAAACACAAACAGTGAGACCAATTCCACCATCAATTAGTCTCTAGTTTAACTCTTATTAAAAATTTACACCTCATATGCAGTTTGAATTTGTTTAGCTTGACAACCAGCCATTGGATTGTGTTGTCCCTTTCTCTGCTAGGGTGAGGGGCCCATTATTAAATATTTGTTCCCCGTGTCACCCCTTAACCTTTTCTCTGTTAAGCGAAATAGACTGAGCCCGTTGAGTATATCTCATGGCTCTTCTCTGACCCTTTTCCAATATAGCAACGTCTTTCATGAACTGTGGGTGACAGAACAGATGCAGTACTCCAATACTGGGCCACACTAACGGCAGTTATACTGGATACAACTGTTGAA